TTCGGTGCTGCGGGACCTGCCGTTTGTGTTCGTCTACCTGGACGACATACTTGTCGCCAGCGCTTCGGTGGAAGAGCACCTGTCACACCTCCGAGCCCTTTTCACGAGGCTCAGCCAACACGGGTTGATAATTAACCCTGCAAAGTGCCAGTTCGGGGTGTTTGACATTGACTTCCTCGGACACCGCGTCACCAAAGGTGGTGCAGCACCCCTGCCGGCGAAGGTTGAGGCTGTTGCGGCGTTTCCGCTCACAGCCCGGTCGCTCCGTGAGTTCCTGGGGATGGTGACTTTCTACCACCGGTTTATCGCCCGGGCCGCCCACATTATGCGGCCGCTGTATGAGGCTTTGAAAGGTACGACCCCCATCCAGGCGATCGACTGGACGGCGGAAGCTGAGTCTGCTTTTACGGAGGTCAAGACTGCGTTGGCTCAGGCGGCCCTGTTGGCGCACCCGTCACCCACGGCTCCCATCTCCATTACCACAGACGCATCGGACTATGCCGTTGGTGCGAAGCACGAGCAGTGGGTGGAGGGCGCTTGGCAGCCACTCGCCATTTTCAGCCGTCAGCTGACGCCCAGGGAACGCAGGTACAGCGCTTTTGACCGAGAACTCCTTGGACTCTGGCTGGCCGTGCGGCACTTCCGTTTTTTGCTGGAAGGCCGTGAATTTACGGCGTTTGTCGACCACAAGCCGCTCATGTCAAAAGTGGCAGAGCCTTGGTCTGCACGTCAGCAGCGGCAGCTGTCTTACATCTCGGAGTTCACCACAGACATTAAGCACGTGGCTGGCAAGTCGAACCTGGTCGCAGATTGCCTCTCCAGGGTCGTCGTCGGGGCCGTCCAGTTGGGCCGTCCAGTTGGGCATGGCGACGGACCAGGTCACGGACCCCAGCGTACAGGCCCTGAAGGAGGATGGCTTGGGGCTGCGGTTGGAAGACGTGCTTTTCGGTGACGCGGGCGTTACCCTCCTGTGTGACGTCTCCACAGGACTGCGGCGGCCAGTCGTTCCCGCCAGTTGGAGGTGCTCCGTTTTTGAGGCGGTGCACGACCTGTCTCACACCGGCGGTAAGCCTTCGGTGCGCTTGGTGGCCGCGAAGTTCGTCTGGCGGGGGCTGAAGAAGGACGTGATGACTTGGGCTGGTGAGTGCGTGGCTTGTCAGCGTGCTAAAGTGCACCGCCACACGAAAGCTCCTTTGGAATGTTTCCTGGTGCCGGAGAGGAGGTTTGACCACGTCAACATCAACCTAGTGGGTCCATTGCCCTCCTCTCAGGGTTTTTCCTACCTCCTCACCATCGGTGGCTGACATAGCCCGGGCTTTCATTGCGACGTTGGTGTGTCGTTTTGGCAACCCGTCAGATATTTCCTCGGACCGGGGTTCGCAGTTCATGTTCGAGCTATGGAACGCCGTGGTGAGTGGTTTGGGGGTTAAGCTTCACAGGACTACCGCTTATCATCCTCAGGCTAACGGCCTTTGTGAGCGTTTCCATCGCTCCATGAAGGCCGGCCCTTAAGGCCGGCCTGACGGACGGTAATTGGGTCGACAAGCTGCCTTGGGTGATGCTGGGCCTGAGGACCGCGCCTAAGGAGGATCTGCAGTGCTCCACGGCTGAGATGGTCTACGGGCAGCCGTTGAGGGTTCCGGGGGATTTCCTCCCCAACGCATCGGTTCCCTGGTCGGAGACGGCCCAGCGGGTTTTCCTGCAGGACGCCGCTGAGGCCTTTGCTCTGATCCCCACTGCTCGGCACGGAACTCAGATGTCCCGGGTTCCCGTGGAGCTCCGCTCGGCGGGAAATGTGTTCATCCGCCACAACGCGCACAGAGGCCCCCTGCAGCCCCCTTACAATGGGCCTTTCCGGGTCTTGGAACACGGGGACAAGCACTTGGTGGTCGACCTGGGTGGCAGGGCCCAGCACGTCTCGGTGGACCGGGTGAAAGCTGCTCACCTGGACTTGGACCAGCCGGTGGTGCTGGCTCGACCTCCACGACGGGAAGGCCTCCTGGTCTTGATCCCGGTCGCTGAGTTGAGACCCGTTGTTCCGGTCTCGCCTCTTCTGTAGGCTGCACAGGCAGAGGTCGTTTTTTTCCGACTCCTGTGCTCAGGAGTCGTGGGGGTCGGCCTGTCGTTCCGCCCCGCCACGCGGACTTTGTTTATGGGTGAATTCTGGGGGTGCTTGTGTGGTGACACATTATTGGTATATAATTCACTGTGTGATTCGTGTGTGTTGCAACCCGGACCCGTTAGTGAGGGTACCGGGGTTGGACGTCTTTCATGCTAGCTGGTTACACAGAGCAGCACATGTACTCACGTCTTCTTGATTAATGAATAGTAAAGTGTGGAAGTCCATTCTGAATACACCGCCTCTGACTCCCGTTCATCGGCTCTACAATACTGTGTTTTTAAGTGGCGATGGAGATTATTTGTTGACCCTGCTTTAAAGGATATTTTGCCAAATGGTGCGCTTTATCACTGCCTGGGTTTTGGTTGAAGTGCATCACTGCGTTTTCGCATTTGACTCATTTTCCATCCGAAAAACACGTCGTCTACCTGTCCTGTACCACTTGTTATGACTTCAAGCTACGAGAGGTTTTCCTACGTTTGTCATGAAAAATTATGTCTCAGGAATGTAGGGTTTGGGAATTATGGCAGGTTTAAAAGAAACCATGAAGGCAAAATTAAATCTGTCCTCCACTCTAGCTGTGACATCACGCACTCTAAAATCTGAAGAAGGCCTCTTTACCAATGTCTGAACAATGTTTAATATCTCTAAAAGTAAGAATCAGATTCAAAAGTTGTGTAACACGAATAATGTCAGAAAGATGTGTAGCATTTTAAAGTTGGAATGAGGTTTCTGAATGAAAGTATGAAGGAGCAGTTAGCAGTTGAAGAAGGAGCAGTTAGCAGTTGAAGTTGCATGAAGATTGTTGAAGTCTGAAGAGTTTCTCCATTGACTTCCAAGTAATAGCCATCGATTCCCGACCGAGCTGAACGTTTTGATGTTTGAACGGAGTTTCTGCGATGTCCAATGTGGAAGGAGAAGTGGCGCAAAATAACCCGGCGGAATAATAAAGAATTTCGTGCGTAGCATAACAGATAGTTGGAATGCTGCATCAGCATTCCCACTAAAATAGTGGCTCTGCAGCAGGTATACTCGACATTGAGAAACGGCCTCTGTCATTTAAGATATTAAATTACCAAGTACTAATCCCTTCAATAGTTTAAATAGACCTGAATGTGGCATTTACACATTAAGGAATAAACAATTGACACTGTTTGGTTAGAGTCTGAAGCAATATGACACTTTTTGTACATGTTGACACATTTCTGACAAGCCTACAGCATTTTATGTTCTGTCATTTAGGATTTTATGCTATATCATTTGCTAACGTTTGAAAAGACATTTGCATTCGAGTTAAGTCATATAAGAACATTTAGTTTTAGGCATGAGCTTGCACTAACTTCCTTAAAGCATCTCTGTAGTTTGGGTTTAACTCAATTCTAATTATTTTGACTGGAATTGAACTAGCAATAAGATTTGATGAAGATTGAAATGATCATGGGGTTATTTTCTGTACCAGACAGGGCTTCTTTGCAGCTCCACAAAAAAACACGTTCTTATATTTAGCCTTTACCAAATATTGTCCTTACTGTAAGTTGAATATTGCATTTGTCCATATTCTTTTCTCAACAAAAAAAATGCAAGTAATTGTGCATCCCTACAGTTCAGTGTGTTTGGAGTTGTCAGGTTTTGAAAGCACCTTCATACCCTGTAAACTGAATATGTACTTATGTTAGTTCCACATTAAAGTCCAAAATCCTTCACTGCTAACAAGATTTTAAAAGCCCTGAGGGGAGACATTAAGCTGCTGAAGTCAACAGTCTACTGAATGTTGTTTTGTGGAATAAATCCAAATGACTGCCTGTAATGGCATCTAAATATTACACATGTATAGTGTCATCCAGGGGCGGTTCTAAGGGGGGGGCAGTGCCCCCCTAACACTGACCTCTGACCCCCCTAAAAATGAAAAGTGAAACAAATGTATGATTTATTACACGATTTATTGAATGACGGAATAGGCGGAACTAATGTTATTCGTCATTCTAGTCAGACCCATTAGAGCGGTGCACTCACTTTCACTGTCCGGCTGAAGAGCGTGAAAAACAAACACGTTTCATCTCGGATCATCAGAGGCTGTTGCATCCAAGAAAGACTGATTGAAACCTACGTTTCGAGAGACTACCAGGATAATTGAAGGTGAGTTAAACTATTGTATCCGTGTAATTGTAGATGTAAAGTAGAGATGTAACTGTTCATTTCCTTTATTTTTATATAAATATGGTGTTAGTGCAAAAATTGTACTATAACTTAAGCTGAAGCTAACAGTAATAACTATAAGATATATCTGAAATAAATAAGTGTACTGAAACAAATACCAATAACTGTATTGCATTGTTTTCTTATTATACTTCATACTGTCTAGTTCTCTTTTTCGTCCTGCATTTATTGTGCACCTCAGAAAATCACTGGCCCCCCCCAGTCAAATTGGTCTAGAACCGCCACTGGTGTCATCACCTTTGTATTGTGACTCACTGGTTCATTAATGTATTAACTCAATAAGCAGCTACCTATGGAATACAATCAAAATGGTTATGCCTAAAAAGGTGATCTGACCACTTTGAGTTTAACACATGGTTCTATAGACTGAAACATCTGGATTTTCAAGGGTTAAGGATTCAAAGTAATCTATAGTAGAGATTTTAGGTTAGTCGATACTTTTAATCATTGAAGTTAGCCTTTGTCTTGACTGGAAATCTGCCATTTAACAAAAGTAAATGAGACCTGTATTAAAGGCCATTTTAAATTCTTTATTTCACTAGTTTAAAAATGTGCTGCATTAATGAATGTGTACTTTTCAAATGCTCTTTTAGCTTTTCAATAACAGTTGGAAGTCACATTCGCCTTGAAATAAACTAATTTAATGGAAGACAAGAGTCAGACGTCATGTCGGAACACATGTGCACTTTATTGGGATTGTTTAGTCAGTGTACAGGTTGGCCCCGCTGGTCTGGCACCCCATCACTGAGAGACCCCTTTGCCCCACCACCCCAGGGAATGAAACCTCCATCAGGGGGAAGAGGTCACGACTGGGTTTTGCATAACAAAAACAAAAAAAATTAAACAGGACCAAGATATTTTTAAGGCTGAAAGTACAAAAAACCCAGACATAATTTACATACAAGCGATACTACAACCATGTTTAAGTATGCGCCAACCACTGGGCAGCCTTCACAGAGGCGAATACGTGTCTGAACAATGCAGTTAACATTTGGAATCATGTGTCTGAACAATGCAGTTAACAAACATTTGGAATGACTCAAAAGAAAAAACTAAAATGTACATTTTTTTTTAAGTCCCCAGATGCAACTGCAGAACCCTGGGGTGATTTTTTTTTAACCTAGCCAAAACATTACTGTCTCCTTCATCGTTCCAGTTTAAAATCCTGAGTCAAGCGCCAAAATAACTGAAGCCATGCCAATGAGTTGGTCGTCTAGGCTCTGCGCCTGAGTGTGTATGAGAAATGTGTGTGTGGTTGTTTTGCACAGAGCTGAAGTTGTTGGGCGTCTGGTTGGGGAGGGGGAAGGAGGAACAGTCTGTTTTTTTAGAAGCATTTGCGGTGGACGATGGAGGGGCCGGACTCATCATACTCCTGCTTGCTGATCCACATCTGCTGGAAGGTGGACAGAGAAGCCAGGATGGAGCCTCCGATCCAGACAGAGTATTTACGCTCTGGTGGGGCAATGATCTGCAGAGACAAGGGGAAGATGCATTAGACACCATTTCTTTTTGCATTCATCCGACTCAAACAGAGCAGTATGTTACTGTGCTGGCTGGGCAGAGGCTCAGCTCACCTTGATCTTCATGGTGGATGGGGCCAGGGCGGTGATCTCCTTCTGCATCCTGTCAGCGATGCCGGGGTACATGGTGGTACCTCCGGACAGCACGGTGTTGGCGTACAGATCCTTACGGATATCGACGTCACACTTCATGATGCTGTTGTAGGTGGTCTCGTGGATTCCGCAAGACTCCATACCTGAGGGCAGAATCAAAACACTGGTTAGCAAGTGTCGCTGCAGGATAACTAGAAGGGGTTTTTCCTTATTTTTAGGGATGTAGTGCAGGTTATGTTAAGTTGGAACTTAACAGGACTCACCGAGGAAGGATGGCTGGAAGAGAGCCTCTGGGCAACGGAACCTCTCGTTTCCGATGGTGATGACCTGACCGTCGGGAAGCTCGTAGCTCTTCTCCAGGGAGGAGGAGGAGGCAGCGGTGCCCATCTCCTGCTCGAAGTCCAGGGCGACGTAGCACAGCTTCTCCTTGATGTCACGCACGATTTCCCTCTCAGCTGTGGTGGTGAAGGAGTAGCCACGCTCTGTCAGGATCTTCATGAGGTAGTCTGTGAGGTCGCGGCCAGCCAAATCCAGACGGAGGATGGCGTGGGGCAGGGCGTAACCCTCATAGATGGGCACTGTGTGGGTCACACCATCACCGGAATCCATGACGATACCAGTGGTACGACCAGAGGCGTACAGGGACAGCACAGCCTGGATGGCAACGTACATGGCGGGGGTGTTGAAGGTCTCGAACATGATCTGTAGAATGAAAAGAGAACATGTTAATAATCAATCACAATAAAAAAAAGTACTTAACTTCTGTGGCCACTGCACTCACTACATGCATTATTGTGTGAGGCTAAGATTAAAGTTAGTAGAGAAACAAAGTGCAGAAAGTCATCATTCCTTCACACTTGTGCATGTCAGATGTCTATTAAAGTAGTGCTGATTTAATAACTCAGCTACACAAGTGCAGATAAAAGGCACACAGTCAAGAGAGACCTGTTGATGATAGATCATCTTATAGGAGAGAAGTCCTGGAGGAGAGGGGGAGGAAGGAGCAGGTGAGAATGGAATGGAGGGAAACCCAGGAAGAAATGAGGCTACGAGTTAAATAGCTAATAATACGGGATAAGCTAAGTATGCTACATTCTGTGTGTGCTAAAGTTAAGGGTGTGTACCTGGGTCATCTTCTCCCTGTTGGCTTTGGGGTTCAGGGGGGCCTCTGTGAGCAGGACGGGGTGCTCCTCGGGGGCAACTCTCAGCTCGTTGTAGAAGGTGTGATGCCAGATCTTCTCCATGTCATCCCAGTTGGTCACAATACCGTGCTCAATGGGGTACTTCAGGGTCAGGATACCCCTCTTGCTCTGGGCTTCATCACCAACGTAGCTGTCCTTCTGGCCCATACCAACCATCACACCCTGGAATCAAGACATCAGAGATGGTTAGATTATATATATTATGCACTACAACATGGATAGACATACAGTTTACAAGTCCAAGTACAGGCACATGAATACATGCGATGTATTGCTTTGCATGTCTGTTTACTTTTTTTATATATTTGTACTTATATAGGTCTTTACTGCAACACATGAATTTCCCCTATAGGGACTGATAAAGGATCATCTTGTGTACTGATTGTCTGGCTGGTTATAAATCTCATATGCAAATGCTTATCAAGTCTACATTTTCTCTCTATTCTTTTGGAGCTCAATGCCTCACCTGATGCCTTGGACGACCGACGATGGAGGGGAAGACAGCACGAGGAGCGTCGTCTCCTGCGAATCCGGCTTTGCACATACCGGATCCGTTGTCAACAACCAGTGCGGCGATTTCATCATCCATGGCTGAACTGTTGAGGAAAAAGAAACGATGGTTAAGTATCAATTGCAATATGGCACTACTATTAAGAACCAAAACTAACTGTAATTGACAAATATATATTTGAAATATCACCTATTATTTGAGGTTTACTTTATATGTGTACCCCTGATCTCAACGTTTGTGTATTAGTAATGTTCATACGTTTTCTTGAGAAGAGAAAAAACAGTCACAAGTCGCATTTCCGCTTCCTGACACTCTCACTTCCTGTTAACAAACTAGTTGGAGTTAACTATATTTGCCACTAGGTGGAGCCCGTGCGCCACATTCCGAGTGCCAGACAAAAGGAAGTGGCTCTGCATTCTGGTATTACCATATAAGGACATGGCTCGGTTTTGAGCAGCTTTGCGGCTACCGGCGCCATGGCAGGCAGCCAGAGAGTACGGCAAAAAAAAAAAGGAACATTCGACATTATGAGACCCGGGGCCGAGCGACCACTCCCTACCGGTTCAATACAGTTTAAATCCCCCCCCCCCCTCTCCCATTGTTGCTTAATTGAAACTAGCTTTAATGGCCACCAGAACATATTTGATTTACTGCGTCATAGTCAGTGCCCATCTGACACGACTGCGTACTGGAAAGTCTACATTTTTCACTCAACCGTTTTTAATTGGCAGTAAAACAAATCTCAAGTTTAATAATGAACTCATATGTTGACTCATGAATGACTGCATTTCATGAAGGCCACGCCTTTTTAACGGTGCATGATTTGTCAATCTCCAGTTCCTCTTTTTCTCATGTGCAAGTTGGCAGGACATGAACTAATTGCGTAATAAGACTATACAACCAATTAATCAGTGAATGCTCTTTTTCTTGCAGGGGCCAATATTCTTGTCCTCCATTAAGAGGAAGCCTCAATACAACGACGGTAAAGTGGATTGCTACACGCCCAGGAAGTGGAAGCAAAGTGTCAAAGGAAAAAATAGTTTTATCTCAAGTTTTAAAATGGCAACAGTTGTAAGTCTGAAGGGCGGTGATAGCATGATGTGGCTAAGCTACTATGCTAAAGTAGGTCACACCCCGCCGCATCAGGCGCACAAAGGGAGCAGCCGGGATCCAGACGACCCTCAACTCAAACCCCCTTTTTCAAAGCTGGGAAATGTTAAAGTAAGCCAGCCAACAGGAATACAAAAGAAACGCAATTACACTGTGAAACCACAATTAACTGCCAAGGTAACATAAAACCGGCTTCACCCATAAAGCACCTGCGAGAATCACGAGTCTGCGGTGTGTTGCGATCGCTACTGCGTTTTCTCAGCCATGCAAAAATGTAGATGTCTTTTAATATTACTTTTTTAAATCCTTAAGTTTAATTAGCAGTACAGTTGGTGCATGACAGGACAAAGACCTCGTGGTGCCTGCCATTTTTCCACCATTCAAAATGACCCATTTCAAACAATTGCGTTAAAGAACAATGCCATCTTACTTGAAATACAAGTTTTAAAAAGTATTAATATGGAAGTAATGTTTCAGTCTCTTACCTTTTTGGGTGGGGGGGCTTTTCGCTTTAAGGGAACCGGGTTTCAGGCAAATGATATCCCGCACAAGTGTGTGACGGCGCTCAGAGTGAATCCGTTAACTGAGGGTGCGGGTTTTTATACTGCGTCAGTTGCCCGGCTCAAGCCATATAAGGTAAACTTTCGGAATGGCGGCCTCTGATTGGTCCAGCGTCACTCACTAGGGCACGTCGCGCAGCTCACACTGTGGTGCACTGGAGAGAGGGGAGGCGATAACAGCAAAAGGATTGGAGAAATAAAAAGGGAAGGGATTGATGCTGTGAGGCCTAGTAAAGCCCTAATCTCTTGATATACTGTTTTATATGCAGGTTAAATGATGTATAAACTTTTACAAGGGTGGAAAATATCTGCTTAACCCTCATGTCGTGTTCGCTTCTCCCCCTCTTACTTTGGGGTCAAATTTGAACGGTGTGTTTGAACTGCCCTTACATTAACACAAAAATCATTAATCATTACCAAATGTGATTTAACACCCTTTTGAGTTGTAAACAGTGACTCAGACGACTGGTTTACATGAATAACTGCTGAAAAGACACTCCAAAATGAACATGGTTGTCGAGTAGTGGGTGTGTACTATCTGATGGGTCAACATAATCTTAGGGTTACTCATTTATTTCCTATGGAGGTCATTTTTGCCACCATAGGTGTTACAAAGTTGACTAAACCCCTCAAAATTCAAGTAATGATAAGCAGTTTCATATGTTTAAATGCCTACTGTGGAGGATATCATTAGGGCTAATGGCAATCAAATGTAAAACACAATATTTATGATTAATGAAAGTATTACATCGGTCAGATTCGACCCCAACATGACAGGAGGGTTACATATCTGTCTGGCACAGGGCCAAGTTATATGACAATAAAAAGAGCCAAGGACTCCTCCCTGTGCAGACAAATTCTTCCTATCTCTTTCACAACTATTTTTTAAATATATTTATTATTATTTGAGACAATACAAATAGTGTTGGGAGTCTGATATTGCTGTCCACGCTGTGTAAGATTCACAGTCCCTGCATTACTGGGTCAAACACATGACACACATAACACACTGATCTGCTGGGGAAAGACCTCTCTTTGTCAGCCACACACCTTTTCCCCATACTGCTGCTGATAATGGTCACTTATTGATCAAGTATTTGTGCATGGTGGCATTAAATGTTCTAGGGCTCCTCCTTAATATCCTGCCAGTGGCTGCTCTCGCTCTCTGCTTGGTATTCAATAGTGTAAAAAGGTGTGTCATGTCAGGAAATGCTGGGATGTGTTAGCAGTCTCAGATTGTAATGCAGCTTGCAGTGAATTAGATGACAAAAAGATAGTTAAATAACGGCTTTCAGACGTTATATCATGTGATAATTACAAAAAAATACATGACTAGTTAAAGTAGATGTTTTCGATTGCTGTTTTTAGCATTGTTTAATCATTACATGTCATTTCAAAGACCACCAGGACTTCCTGTCTTCCAGTTTAATCAATCAAATTAACCAGCTTTTATTCTCCTCTATCAAATAAAGCACAGCCACACACCCATGCTTTATCTACTTCCTGGTTTACTGCATTGGCGTAAGGGTGGACTTTTAAAATATTTCAACCTCTGCTCCATTCACATCATGACTAATGAGGCCCATGTGACACAATCTCAGATTTTAGCCATGGGCCTGCAGGCTAGTAAAATGTCCATTCCTGATTTAGTGCAATTTATTAAGTCTCCACACTCCATGGGAACATATTATCTTGAATTATGCCTCTGCCTTTTTCCCTTTTTTCACAGCTGTGATTATCTTTTATCATGTCTCTCCCCCCACTTAATCTTCTGCTTAATATATAACATCTGGAGCACACTTTTATTCATTTTGTGCTCTCAAAAGACAATCTTACATGTTAATACAATGGCCGGTTTTCAGTGCCATTTAAAGCTGCAACTTGTTCTCTTCCTCCTTCACCACTTCCCCTTCCCCTACTCTCAGTTGCATCAACTCCTGTTTTTTTTTTTGTTCTCGTGTTCACTTCCTCCTCCTCATTCATGCTGTCAAGTTGGCTTTAAATGGACATTATTGTCACCCTCACATGGCTCATATCTCCCCCTTTAAATCAGCCACAGCGAGCTCAGTTCCAAGTATAACGCGGAAATGCAATAATGTGGAAATATGACGATGGCTTGTGTAACTTCCCCATAAACCGTGCAAATTGTCAAGGTTTAATTTAGCATTTTTCATGATTTTCTACTTACACTTTAAACATTTAATAAACAATCTTACACCTGTCAATTCAATCATGACTTTAAGAGACCTTCTGTTGAGTTTTATGCAGGCAACGTTACAGGTTTTACAGATTAAAGGAAGTACGTTTAAAGTGTTCAAAGGTCTACTGGGCCCACTTATTGATTTACAGGCTTAACATCTCATTGTTAAGGGTCAAATCTCAAACTTACTTCATCCCTGTCTGACCCATGTCTTGTCTAATCATGCGTATTTGTTTCATTATAGTAATAAAGTTGCATATCTATGATGAGGTAGTTAAATAAAAGGTGGGTCCTGCAGGTGTTAACAGAGATTTAAATAGAAAAGAGCTGAGAGGACTGTTTCTACACACTACAAACAGGGATTGGCTGGGAAATATTTAATCTGGCCTAAAAAGGGAGTGCCTCAGGGCTTTTCAAATTGACAGAGTACAAGTCTCTATATATGTTACCACATACATGAGTGAGTGAGTGAGTGAGTCATTGTTTCAGCCCAGCCTACTTTGATTCAGGTAAAAAAACATTTCCATTCAGCTTCCCTCCTGAATAAAGAGCACAATTAAAATGAAGAGTGACGCATTTGTGTCTGGGTTGGAGTTAATTTCAATTTAGATTTACTTTAATCATCATAAATTGGGAGTTTGTGCACACTTATGTTAAAAAAGGCATCGCATATTAAATACATATTTCAAAAGAAAGATGTATATCTATGGATTACACAATGCGACAATATACAGAATAAATTAGAAAACACTTTAATGCACTTAAAGGTGGGGTAGGTACGTTTGAGAAACCGGCTCGAGATACACTTTTTGTTATATTCCATGGAATGCTCTTAACATTCCGATAGCAATGAATATCTGAAGTGCTTTGACAAAAAATCCATAAAAAAAGGTCATCTGTGGAAGCTGTAGTAGGCTACTGTAAAAAGCACGACCAATCATCTGAGCCGGCCCGGCTAAAGTAACTGGATGGCCTACCTGCCTGTCAGCCGTCCATCTGTGCACAAACTTGGGCTCTGTAAGGAAGTGGCAGATTTCTTCCGGCTGTTTATTTTCAAATTCTAGCGCACTCGAGCTGGTTTCTCCAAAATTACCTACCCCACCTTTAAGTAAAGAAACATAGCATTTATACATTTACACATTTGACAAATTCTTGGCATAAAGAGACTCTACTATTGTTGTGAAAAGTAGATATTTTGACAGTCGTAAAAGATCAAATGTATGTATTTCTCTACAGTGTAAAACTAGCTGTCACTCAGCCTTGGTAAGCAGGACGTTATCATGTTATATGTGTGCGCATGTGTGTGTGTTTGTGTGTACTGCTTACTGCTAGTAAGTGAGAGGTCTCCGGTTAAGTGGTGTGTTGTCAACACTCTTCAGTGGGAATTTATATCCGAGTGCTTGGAATACTGTCCCGGGAAGACTCCTCTCATGTGTCATAACAGAGTGTGTTTACACCTCGCCGGCCAGTAAAATCCAGGCTCTCTGAACCTGCACCTTTACTGCCAAGGTCTCTCTGCAGAAGAGCCACCTAATGAATTTTCCTGAGGAGCTTTCATCCAGACAGGAGTTTATACTCACTGTGTTTTTGTATATTGATTACCGGTTGTCTAAATAGACCACTCATCAAACTAAGTGACACTTTAACGTGAGCAACAAGTGGAAGCTCTGGGTTTAAACCTGTCATTAAGAGTCATGGAGAGCTAAGGGAGCGTCTGAAAATTACTGTAATTTAGTTGTAAAATCTCTGTGCCCTTTTTGCAAAAACACCTTTTGGTATGTTCCTGCAAAAGTGATGTTTGGCAGCTTGAGCGTGCTGCCACTGGTGGGGCCAGAGGCAGAGGGTACAAAGGTGTTTTTTTTGCCAGGTGAATTGTTTAGCTTTTCAATGCTTGTTGTTCTTTTTCTGTTTGGAGGCCGAGGGTTCAGTCAGTATCATAACATCATGTCAGTGGTTGGGACTACTGACATGGATTAAACACACTTTTTGCTTATTAACCTTTGCATTTGAAGGCCTCTGCACAAACAAACAGCTGTTTTTGGTAAAGCACTGCATCTGGGCTACCCTTCCAACAACATCTATCTATTAGTGATCTATCACCTTTTTTAGATAATTTATCCTTTATAAAAATACTACACTGAACAAAAATATAAACGCAACACTTTTGTTTTTGCTCCTATTTTTCATGAGATGAACTCAAAGATCTAAAACATTTTCTATATACACAAAATAACCATTTCTCTCAAATATTGTTCACAAATCTGAAAAAATCTGTGATAGTGAGCACTTCTCCTTTGCCGAGATAATCCATCCCACCTCACAGGTGTGGCATATCAAGATGCTGATTAGACAGCATGATTATTGCACAGGTGTGCCTTAGGCTGGCCACAATAAAAGGCCACTCTGAAACGTGCAGTTTTGCTTTATTGGGGGGGTCTGGGGGGGTCCGAAAACCAGTCAGTATCTGGTGTGAGGGGTAGGGGTAGGGTTAGGGTTAGGGTAATGTTGTGAATCGAGTGGCCCATGGTAGTGGTGGGGTTATGGTATGGGCAGGCGTATGTTATGGACGACGAACACAGGCCACTCGATTCACAACATTACCCTAACCCTAACCCTAACCCTACCCCTCACACCAGATACTGACTGGTTTTCGGACCCCCCCAGACCCCCCCAATAAAGCAAAACTGCACGTTTCAGAGTGGCCTTTTATTGTGGCCAGCCTAAGGCACACCTGTGCAATAACCATGCTGTCTAATCAGCATCTTGATATGCCACACCTGTGAGGTGGGATGGATTATCTCGGCAAAGGAGAAGTGCTCACTATCACAGATTTTTTCAGATTTGTAAACAATATTTGAGAAAAATGGTTATTTTG